ATTCTACTTGGTTATAGTAGCCAAAACCACTTAGCTACTTCATTCAAATATATCCCTTTCCGGGACATATCACCATCAAAAATGAAAATATACACAAGGACACATTAACTGTTACACCTGAGGTGTCTATAGACTATTTTAAACTTTCAGCTTTCTAAAGAATACAAAGATGAAGCCAATGGAATTTTGCCTAACGCACACATATCACCTTGCTTAAATTTGTGGGTGGAAGACATAAGTACATGAGTAAAAGACATGCACCAATTGATGGCAACACACTGGGTTAGAAAGTAGTAGAATTTTAATTATGTTTTTAAAATAGGGTGTCACTTGTCCAGTGAAATGTTTTGGCCATACCCAGCATATATATGTATATAGTTGCTATTATTTTCAGATTTCACCACCTGCAGGGAATCTGTATGTACATATATGCTTAATAGTCTATTAAATTAAATTTAATCTACCTTTCAATGTGTACATGTTTCTACACCAATTTCCACCACAATTTCTTTCTTGTATAAAATATGAGGCCATAACAATAACACCAATGACTGTGTAAACTTGATATGTCACATAAAAGCATCTTTCATAATAACAAGACAAATATATTTGAAATCTTGTCTGCTTTAGTTTTTTTCTTCTTTTGAACTTATCTAGCGGATCAGATTTCAAAGGCTTCTTTCTGATTGTTCATTCAGGAGAGGAACTCTCATGGTAATGACCCAATGTGGTGAAGAAAGGTTTAGTGTTATTATGTACTAAACCATTGGTTAAGTCAAACCATTTCCATACTTTCTTATGTAAATGAACTATCAATGTTATTCTTACTTTTGTATTTCTCTTTCAGCTTTTGTCACAATATTTTCAACTGCATGTTCTACAATAATATTGGGATCATTGTATGCTGATCATATTGTTTTGGGATCTAACGGTTATGGTTCAGATCTTGGCATAAAGTCTTATAAAAATTTCATACCCCGATAGGAAGTTTTATTGCATATTCTAACATGATCATAAAACTTCAAGAAAAATGTGGATACGAGTCAACAAATTATCAACTTAATCCCGATTTTCAGAAAGTTAAAATATCAGGCACATAAAAATATGGCCATTAAGGCAAAAGGGGAGACAAAATGAATAAAAAGAGACAAGAGGAAAAACTATTTTTAGCTGACGCATTTCATCCTCTGCGGGATTTTATCAAGGCAAATGCATCAGCTAAGAATATTTTTTTTGACATTCATTGCAAAAGTTCCTCAAAGTATAAATTTGATAATTGATTCCATTCTTTTTTCAATGAATCTAAGAGTTCTTTTTAATTTTTTTCACTCTGTTGCCAAGTTCTTCTCATGCTAATTCTGGGGGTGACTTTTGAACTGTGTATATATATATATATATATATATATATATTTATTTTATATATATATATATATATATATGTGTGTGTGTGTGTGTGTGTGTGTGTGTGTGCAGATCTTAAATGCAAAGCTGAATTTTTTCACTTTGAACAAAATTTAATCTTTCATTACAAAACAGCAATTTTTTAGACTTGTTTTGTTTTTGCAACAATACTGGTAACTTATTCTCTTATGAAATGCTTTCTGCTATTTCTTTTTCTCTGTTTTACTACTGAATACATGTACACTATGATATTTTTACTCTAAATGACCATTCTTGTCTAATTTTCTGTACTCATAACTTGCTTTGTATGAAATGTTTCCTACTTTATTGAAGGTATATTTGTTTTTGTCTTGCCATGTTTTTTTTGTTTTTTTCCAGCATTTATGTATAGTTTAACTGTAAACGATTGTTGTTCTTGTCTGATTTCCCCAATTTACTGGTATTTTCATCTCTGCTGGCAGCGTGTTTTTATAAAATGTTTTCTGTTATCCTTTAGTTATTTTTGTTTTTTCTTATAAATTACAACAGCGTCAAAAATGTTTTACATGTTCTTCTACTTCCATGTTTTGTTCAAGTTTTTTTCTTCTGTTGTATTGTAAATACATATTTCAGTAACATTAAATACTTACACATAAATACACGAAAAACATCTTTGTTAATATATAATGCTGAAGTGGTGAGGGCCTTATATGCCAGCTTGCCTATCTATTTTTCCATATGGAGGAATTCAATTACATGTTTCTGCTTCATAAATACTTTCATGTCAGATACCATTTTGCCAGACTGCTATTTGGCTTCTCTCTTTAATGAGGTAAAAAAAATTCCTACAAGATTGCAGCTAAAGTTTCCTTTTAAATAGTTTCACCTAATTTTTACTAATAATTCTGTGTCATGGCTTAATATTTTAAAACTTATCAAAAATTATCTTTGATAAGAATTGAGTGAAAAACTAGGAAATATCCCACCTGTTTCTTTTGACAGTTAATCTCAACAGGTCTTCAACTTCTTCAAGTTGCATTTAGGTTTTGTATCTTAAAATAATATTGAAAAAAAAAAATAAGTGAAAAATAAGAATGTTTTATTTGTGAGGAAGGTGTAACCTCTACTGTTATAGCACAATCTCTGATACCATATGGCCAACATAATAATAAAGGAGACATTACTTTCAGAACAGCTCTTGTATATTATTTCACATTTTAGTGCCTAGCTGTAAAGATTTGTATATCGTGGCATTTCCTTGAAACCTAATAGTAAACTTGAATATTTGCAGATATTTTTGGTCAACTCAAATACAAAATTTGCCCAAATAATTTAACGTTACAAATCTTGGTCAGTTTATTCCAGATCCTTTTCATTCTTTTGTTTTCAATAAAGTAATTTTAATCTTAAGCAAAATTTTTTTAAAAATTGGAAAATAGACTTTAAAATTTGGAATTTTGACTATTGTAAAAGTTTAAAAACAATAAAAATTAGTTAGGACCACAGTTTAAGCCGGCTGGCTATGTTAAATAATGTTTTCAAATATATTTAACATTGATACTCAGTATTGAGAACAAGAATACAGTGGACAGAAGTATATAAACTGTCTGATAATAATAGATACATTTATATATATTTCATAAAATAAATATAACAACTATTATGGGACAGAGAGGTAGTAAGTTGGAGTACAATGAGAGATTACACATTCTAGTTTTAAAGGTTTTGTCACAACTTGACTTGGGCTAAACAAAGTCTTAGTATCCAACAGATGTAATGTATTTGGAATATCATATCAGTACAAACCTCATATGCTTACAAGTGATAATCTTAAGTGGCATTTAAGACAGCTAGTGATTTACAAAGGAGGCCACATATGGAGCAAGTGTGAGATGAGATCACTGTTAGATTGGCTGACCTTTTAGATCTTGCTTTCGTTTCTTGAAGATGATTCAGACAAGCAGATTGAAAATTGCTGAGTTCACTAAAACACGTTGATTTCCATTCTACCCGCTCCAAGGCTAAGTGCTCAAGGGTGTTATGTGGTATATTGACTGCTGACAAGTTGCTTTTCAGCTTGTCTTTGTATCTTAGCCATGGGCATCCTACATTCCTGTAGCCCTTTATATATATTACAAAACAATGGTATAGTAGTGGATAGCAGCTCGGATAGTGGAATCTGAGAGCCAAATTCGAATTACAGTTGAATCCATTGCATTCACTTATGTGCTAATAAGCTTAGGAAAGATATTAATTTTCTTCTCCCTCCAACTATAGGTAAATAGCAGGACAGACTGGGTTCTGTAACCTTGGAAGACATCTGGTCTAGGAGAAGGACAACTCTGAATACAAAAACCTGCAGAGGGTTGTTTCAGGACCTTGCAGCTCATAATGCACCAAATATCTGTATTTGGCCCTTCAAAAAGTATGGTTGGTTCTGCACAAAGCCTTCACCACTATGATCAAATCTTATGTGCTGGTGTCTGGCTAGGAACTGAGTTGTTTGACCCTCGTATGTCAAATACAACAGGAGAGTCCACTATATATATATATATATATACATATATATATATATATATAATATGAAGTAAACTATATATATATATATACAGAGAGAGAGAGAGTTTACTTCATATTATTTTTGCCCTATTCTTTTCATTCTTTTGTTATTGTTTATTGAAATGTTATCAATTCTATTTTTGGGAGCATTTCTGACAATTACATTTAACTATGCCCAATTACTCTACAGTTTTAACTTTTCCAATTAGGGATGATTTTTTTTATTATTAATATAAAGCACTAAATCTTTGCTGATTATATTATTAAAGAGAAATGTTGCATGTAACATACTGAAAAAAATAAAGACACACACATTATAACTTGACAAAATCTGTTACCTCATTAAATTTGTTGGCTAGTCTGTCATCACCATTTTTGTTTGATCCTAATTTAATTTATCCATTTCAACCATAGCTGTCAAAGGTGATCTAAAATTGTTTTATATTTTTAATGTTAAATGAAAAGTTTTTTATGATATTTATAAAATTTTAAGTAGAATCTCTGTGATCTTTAACCATTAAGTGTGTGTTTTGAGTGGATACTTAAATGGTTTAAATTGTGTCATGCTTCTGGGGTCAAGTTTTTCTTGAGTGTGAAAAGTGTATAAATTTCTTACTTTTGTCAAATAACATGTTCAATTGAAACCAACTTACAACCAAATAAAAGAAGATCAGTAAAACAAGTAGCAATCAACTTAACATATTTTTAGGTTATGGTCGGGTTTTGTAAGGGGGGAAAAACATAACTTTATAAATGACTACTGTCAAATTCTTTTTTTTTTTTTTGATTGCTTTATTCATTTTCTACAACTTATCAACCCTTTGTAGGCTATTTAAAGCCTGAAAATATTTTTTAGATCCTAAGAATTTTTTTTTTTTTTTTGAGATAATAATGGTTTAGTGACACAATTCTTACTAATTAATCCAAAGCTAGGTGACGAAAAGTGGTGAATAAGGGTATTTGTACATAAGTGAATATAGCAAATACAACTGGAATTAGAACTTGGTTCTCTGATTAACAATTCTGAACCATTATCCATTACACCACCCGCACATCCAAACTTACAGCACCTAGTATTTCAAAGTGGTCACTCATCTCGGTACTGACCAGGCTCGACATTGCTTAATTTCAGTGATCCTACAGGAACCAGTTTTTCAATGCTGCATAGCTTTAGGCATGTTGGTTTTAATTTTATTTACATGACATTGGATTTTCTCACATATTATATAAATATTCTTTGCAAATTTACACTGCTATTATGATATTAATATATTTATTTAATAAAACAATCTATCATGTTCTGTTATAATTGCAATGCTTTATATTTTGCCCAAGGTAGCCAAACAGGACTTTTAGTTTTTTGCCAAAACTAAATTTTACAAGGTGATATTATTATTGTATGATTCAAGAAAAAAAGCAACATGCTGCTAATGTTCATTGGCACCCAGCTTGCTGAGTCAGTCTGCCAAGTCTTCATGCTTTTGTTTAGGATTTGTGTCTGAATTTCTCTAAAATATTTACAATAGCTGACAAATTCAAGCAGCCTGCCTGAATCAAATTTTATGCAAATTTCAGTAAAACTCTTCCTCTGACCTTTGAAATGCTTGATCAGGCTTTCAGTAAACATTCTTTTGGTTAAAGTTTTTTTTTGTGTGGTACACGTTTCAAGGATAATCAAGTGTTGTTTCAAGATGATGAGCTTACAGGGCAACCAATTGCTAAGAAAAACACCAGAAAACATATAAAAGAAGCCCATCCCCAATTTGTCTATTCCCCAAAATGAAGATGTTGATGTTCAACACTATTTCCAACAAAAGGTTAAGATGGAAGATCTCATCACTAGTGGAAAGTGTGATAATAGTTGCTGGAATTGAGAAATCTATTTTCCTGAAAAACTGTTCTAATAGAAAGATTTCATAAATTTCAGCACTAGCTGCTCAGTCAATAAATACTGAATGTTTCCTTATAAGGAAGCAGCTAATATTATCATTGCCAATACAAAAGATGGTAAGACGATGTAGATATAGATTAATCTAATTATCTTACACTTCTGTTCTATTAACAATATTCTCTCTCATGAAGGAATACTTACCTTTTTCAATAATATCATCCAAAATGTAAACTTGTCTCATTAAATTTACTATAATCAATATACAGTTCTAATACTGACCATCCAACTGCTATGATTACACAGTTTTGATAACTACAGTGAGTTTAAATAAAATCAATTAAGTGGGTTGTCTCCATTGGTGCAGATTGTTACAAGCACTGTATACAGGTTTTTTCTTCACCAGCCACAAATGAACAAATACCAGATTCTTTAAAAAATTTTTGAGGGCTTCTTGGTTGGGATGAGAACTTTTCAGTATATCCTTGGATATAGATAGGCAAGCTGGCATATAAGGCCCTCACCACTTTAGCATTAACAAAGATGTGTTTAGTGTATTTATGTGTAAGTATTTAATGTTACTGAAATATGTATTTACAATACAACAGAAGAAAAAAACTTGAACAAAACATGGAAGTAGAAGAACATGTAAAACATTTTTGACGCTGTTGTAATTTATAAGAAAAAACAAAAATAACTAAAGGATAACAGAAAACATTTTATAAAAACACGCTGCCAGCAGAGATAAAAATATCAGTAAATTGTGGAAATCAGACAAGAACAACAATCGTTTACAGTTAAACTATACACAAATGCTGTAAAAAAACAAAAAAAAACATGGCAAGACAAAAACAAATATACCTTCAATATAGTAGGAAACATTTCATACAAAGCAAGTTATGAGTACAGAAAATTAGACAAGAATGGTCATTTAGAGTAAAAATATCATAGTGTACATGTATTCAGTAGTAAAACAGAGAAAAAGAAATAGCAGAAAGCATTTCATAAGAGAATAAGTTACCAGTATTGTTGCAAAAACAAAAATAAGTCTAAAAAACATTGCTGTTTTGTAATGAAAGATTAAATTTTGTTCAAAGTGAAAAAATTCAGCTTTGCATTTAAGATCTGCACACACACACACACACATATATATATATATATATATATATATATATATATATATATATATATATATACTACAGTTCAAAAGTTTGAAACCACCCCCAGAATTAGCATGAGAAGAACTTGGCAACAGAGTGAAAAAAATTAAAAAGAACTCTTAGATTCATTGAAAAAAGAATGGAATCAATTATCAAATTTATACTTTGAGGAACTTTTGCAATGAATGTCAAAAATTTGTGCTGCAGTAATCAAAGCTAAAGGAGGATATTTTGACAAGAATAAAATTTAATCAAAAATGCTTTTTTCTTTTTGTTATAATAAAATTTCTAATAAAAATAAAAACCATGTCTCACTTTCTTTCATAACCATGTATAATAATTTTCTCTTATTTAAATAAAAAAAAAACATTTTGGGCAAATTCAAAAAATTAGCAGGGGTAGCCTAAAACTTTTGTAGTGTATGTGTGTATGTATATATATATATATATATATATATATATATATATATATATATATATATATACAGTTATCTGTTATTGGTTATATTCAAAGATTCTTTAACAACATTTAGTATGAATTTTATTTCTTTACATTTTCTTATTTATTAATTGCAAATTAATGTAATTTCAATTTTATTGAAAACGAGTTCCCAGTTAAAACGTTATTTTGTTTTGTTTTTAGTACTAGTCAGTTTGTTTTATTATTTATCTTTCAAATATTTTTAAACAACAAACACAACAACAATAATAATTACAATAATAGTAATAATAACAAAATTTTCTCTTATACTTTATAAGAATTTATACTTTGTAGCAATATATTGCACATTGATGATGATCTGTTTACTTCAACATCCAGTGTATGTTGTGTGTGTATGTGACAGTGGGTAGAAGTAGTATTTTTGTGACTCGGCTGCTGCTCTTATTATTATGATGGACGGGCAACATTAGTCTTCACCCATCTCCTAAATCTCCATGTGCCAAACCCTGTAAATCGCTTCAACAGGCGTGCTAAATCATGTGAAATTACCATCAAAAGGTGCTGCACTTTTCTGTGCATTGGTAGTACCGGAGAGGTATAATGCCATGATAACAAAACCTGAGGGGTGTTGTTCATTGTGTTCCTGGCAAATATTTTCACGAACTCCTTGTTATCAGCATTTCTAATAAGTGTGACTGGTTCTTCACAAGCTTTCACCACTCTAAACAAATCTTTTGTGTGGATAGTCTGCGGTTCAGTTCTGTGATCCTTCTTTGCTATTCCACCTGAGCAGCAAGTTCTCTGGTGTGTTAAGGCAATGGGGACAGGTACAGGATAGTACTGAAGTCTCTAGCTGGCACTCCCACAGTGGCAACCATCAAGTGATGGCTGTTCTTGTACAAACCTTGAGCAATTGTGCTGTTCATGTCCTCTGATGGTGACAAAACAGGTCTATTTAAACATAGCATTACTTTCCATAATTTGGGGAAGGATTAAAAAAGATGTCCTAAACACTGCTTGGTCTTAATCAATTTGGCAACCTGCTGCAGTTGTCTAGTTATCCAATAATGCAGTCGCAATAATCGATTTAGTAGAAATAAAACTTGTAAATGTGTTAATCTCGGGTTTTGGAATTTAAGAACTCTAAGACAATGATTCTTCTCCAGAGCGTAAAACAGCCTTCATTGCTAATGCAGTAAGCAAGCACAGTACTTATATTTCTACTCTCAGTGAGACTCATTTTGCAGGCAACTCTCAATTTGAGAAATTCAGTGCAGGCTATACATTTTTCTGGATTGTCAAAAGTGAAGATGATCCCTGCCTATCAGGTGTAGGCTTTCCCATAAAATCTGATATTGCTAAATCCCTGTCATTTCTTCTGAAAGGAATAAATGATTGCATTATGACTCCAGTCTTAGAACTTGACAAAAATTCTTTTGCCACTCTTGTGAGCTGTTATGCCCCAACCATAAACACCCCTGCGTTGGAAATTGATGGCTTATGTTCAACTACATACAGTTATTTCCAAAGTTCCACATAGAGACAAACTTGTTATTATTGGATACTTTAAGGCATGGGTTGGTGCTGACCACAAGACATGGCCTGGTATTCTTGGCACTCATGTGATCAGGAGTATGAATTCTAATGTGCTATGACTACTTTCTCTCTGCCAAGAATTCGATCTCACCATCACCAACACACATTATCAGTAGTTCAATCATCACAAAATGACATGGATGCATCCCCGATCCAAAGATTGGCATATGATCCTTAATTCTACCTCTGACATTGATGACAATGTCATTGCTTCAGTTCATCAGCAACTAGAAATTTCCCAGTTGTCTCTTGAGCCATAACTAAAGGAAATTCAGGATTCTATCAAGCAATTGTCCTTGAACAAAGTCCCTGGAAAAGATATTCCCCTGAAATTTTTAAATATGGTGGGAAGACTCTGGTTAAGAAACTCCTTGAGATTTTTAAAGTCATATGAAAACTCTCGCTCATGTTATTCTCAATGGAATAATCAAATATCTCATTGATGACATCTATCCTGAGTTTCAGCGTGGTTTTCGTTCAGGGTGTGGAACCATTGATATGATTTTTTTACTTCATCAGGTTGCTGAGAAAGTTCGCAAGAAGAAGTATGAACTCTATACAGTCATTATCAATCTGACCAAAGCATTTGACACTGTAAACAGAGGTGCCCTCTGGAAAGTACACAAAAAGCTTGGCATACCTGAAAGTATGCTAAATGTCATCATCTTGTTTCACAAAGGAATGAAAGCATCTGTTCTAGCTAATAGAGAGTTTTCAGAAACCTTTGATGTAACAAATGGCACAAAGGTTTTGTCATGGCTCTTGTACTTTTCGTTCTTCTTTTCAGTCATGCTGCAACATGCTTTTAGTGAACTTGACATGGGTATAAAATTTGAATTCCACACAAGTGGCAGTCTCTTTAACCATCAACGTTTTAAATCAAAATTGCTGACTCGAGCAAGCATTATTTGTGATCTTTTGTTTGCTGATGACATTGCAATTGTGGCCACCCCAATTGAAGAAGCTCAAGCATTAGTCAATTATTTTTCCACTGCTTGCAATGCATTTGGATTAACTATAAGCATGAAGAAAACTGAAGTTGTCCATCAACCAAGGCCTACACCTAAGCAGGTCAAGGG